CACCCACCCACCAAACACACCCACACCCACACCACACCCACAACACACCACCCACAACACCACACACACCCACACCCACACCCACCCACCACACCACACCCACCCACACACCCACAAACACACCCACACCCACAACCACACCCCACCACAACACCCACACCCACACCCACACCCACAACACCACCACACCCACCCACAACACCACACCCACCACACCCACACACCACCCACACACACACCACACACCCACACACCCACAAACACCCACCCCAAACACCCACCCACCACACACCCACACCCACCCACACCCACAAACACCCACCCACACCCACCACCACACCCACACAACACCCCCACCCACAAACACCACCCACACCCACACCCACCCACACCCACAAACACCCCCACCCACCCACACACCCACCCACCACAAACACCCACACCCACCCACCCCACAAAACACCCACACCCACAAACACACACCCACACCCACCACCCACACCCACCCACAAACACCCACCCATGCCCACAAACACCCACACCCACCCACACCCACACCCACCCATACCCACACCCACCCACAAACACCCACTCATACCCACAAACACCCACACACCCACCCACCCACGCCCACAAACAATCACCCACCCACCACCCACGCCCACAAACTCACCCGCAAACACCACCCACCCACAAACACCCACCCACACCCACAAACACCCACCCACATCCACCACACCCCACAAACTCACCCACCCACGCCACACAAACACCCACCCACAGCCACCCACCCACGCCCACCCACACCCACCCACGCCCACCCACCCACATCCACCCACACCCACAAACTCACCCACCCACACCCACAAACACCCACCCACGCTGGTCCAGACCCAGTCTAGACCTGGTCCAGTCTTGGTCCAGACCTGGTCTTGTTCCTGTTGCAGGGGTTGGACCTGATCCCAGACCGGGTTATGGACTTGGTCTCGTGTCGTTTCTGTGAAAAGTCCTTCTTTGGTCAGATTCCTCGGCACCAACACGAGCGCTACTTCTGCCCCAGAGACCGGGCGCTCCGCCGGGCGCTCCACCCGCCCGAGCACCTGCCAAAGCACCTGTCAGAGCACCTGTCGGAGCCCCCCTGGCCCCCCCGCTCAGACCAACTCACCCTCCTGGACTTCAACCTGGACCCGGGATCGGAGGACCTCCTGAGACTGTCCCTGGTTCTTGGACTTCCCCCGGCGACGCTCAGGGACTGGATGCTTCAGACCGGACCGAGTCCTCACGGGACCTGCCCGGACCTCACCACCCCGAGGTCCCCACTGGACCTCTGCCAGGACCCCAACGCCCCCCTGGACCTGTCCCTGCCCAAGGCCCACGCTCCCAGGTTTGGGCCCAGGTTATGTCCTGGTCTGGGTCCTGGTCTGGGTCCTGGTCTGGGTCCTGGTCTGGGTCCTGGTCTGGGCAGGTTTGGTCAGACTTCGGTCTACCCGGGCTTCATTGGGTCTTTGTCAGGTCCTGGTCTGGGTCTTTTTGGACTCGAGACGAGGAAACTCCGCCCACAACCTCAGGTCAGTGTGAGTCAGGTCCTAGTCCTGGTTTAGTCCTGGTTTAATCTGGACTGTTTCTCTTCCAGGACGTGTCAGCTGACCTCCTGCTCGACCAATCAGACGAGGCGGTTGTGAGGAGAGGGGGCGGGGCTTATCACTGCGACTTGTGTCACAAAACGTTTCAGAAAACGAGCTCCCTCCTGCGACATCGCTACGAGCACACGGGTAAGACGCACTCAGGTCACTCAGGGCACTCAGAACACTCAGGTCACTCAGGACACTCAGGGCACTCAGAACACTCAGGTCACTCAGGACACTCAGGGCACTCAGAACACTCAGGACACTCAGGTCACTCAGGTCACTCAGGACACTCAGGTCATTCAGAACACTCAGGACACTCAGGTCACTCAAGTCACTCAGAACACTCAGGACACTCAGGTCACTCAGGACACTCAGGTCACTCAAGTCACTCAGGTCACTCAGGTCATTCAGAACACTCAGGACACTCAGAACACTCAGGTCAGTCAGGACACTCAAGTCACTCAGGTCACTCAAGTCAGTCAGGTCACTCAGGTCATTCAGAACACTCAGGACACTCAGGTCACTCAGGACACTCAGAACACTCAGGACACTCAGAACACTCAGGTCACTCAGGACACTCAGGTCACTCAAGTTACTCAGGTCACTCAGGTCACTCAGGACACTCAGGTCACTCAGGACACTCAGGTCACTCAGGTCATTCAGAACACTCAGAACACTCAGGGCACTCAGGTCACTCAGGGCACTCAGGTCACTCAGGACACTCAGGTCACTCAGGTCATTCAGAACACTTAGGTCACTCAGGTCAGTCAGGTCGCCCAGGTCACTCAGGTCACTGTGTGGACATCGCTCTCGCTGCCGCCGTGTGCTGAACAGGAAGTGCTCCAGCCTCGTGTGACACTTTTACACAGACGACGTGTGAAACTGACCTGAGTCTGTTGGAACATGAAACATGAAACTCAAATTTCTGCTTTTTACACTTTCACGTTTTTAAACTCAGAGGTGGACAAACTATGGCCCAGGGGCCAAATGTGGCCCTTTAATCTTTTTAATCCTGTCCTGCTGAATTTGAATAAATTCTAAGAATAAAAGTTTTGTGATTTTTAATTGAAATTCAAGATCAGATTTTTTACACATCACATGATCTTTTTTCTCTTATGACGTGGATTAACAAAACGTGTGTGTGTGTGTGTGTGTGTATCTTGTGTGTCGTGTGTCGTGTGTGCTTCAGGTCGTCGTCCTCACCAGTGCTCCGTGTGCCTCAAGTCGTTCAAACACAAACATCATCTTCTGGAACATTCTCGTCTTCACTCGGGGGAGAAGCCGTACGCCTGCGACCGCTGCGGGAAACGCTTCTCCCACTCCGGCTCGTACTCGCAGCACATGAACCACCGCTACGCCTACTGCCGCGCCCAGACCGCCGCCCAGACCGCTGCCGCCCAGACCGCCGCCCAGACCGCCGCCCAGACCGCGCCGCCCAGACCGCCGCCGCCCAGACCGCCGCCCAGACCGCCGCCCAGACCGCCGCCAGACCGCCGCCCAGACCGCGCCCAGACCGCCGCCGCCCAGACCGCCGCCCAGACCGCCGCCGCCAGACCGCCGCCCAGACCGCCGCCAGACCGCCGCCGCCCAGACCGCCGCCCAGACCGCCGCCGCCCAGACCGCCGCCCAGACCGCCGCCCAGACCGCCGCCCAGACCGCCCAGACCGCCGCCCAGAGACCGCCCAGACCAGCCGCCGCCCAGACCGGGACCAGACCGGGGACAGATCGAGAGACCAGACCAGAGACAGACCGGGACCAGAGTCGAGGTCTAGGCCAGGATCTGGACTGGGATTTGGAGCAGACGCAGAACTTCCAGAAGCAGGTCTGTTCTTGAACTGTCTCTGTCCACAAACCAGACTGTGTCGGTCCTAATGAGTCATGTCCCAAACCTGAACCAGAATCTGAACTGGGACCAGGGTCGAAACCAGGATCCAGACCAAGATCCAGACCAGGACCAGACCATGAGCCAGACCCTGGATCCAGATCTGAGGCGTCTGGGAATCAAAACAGAACCACACGATCCTTATGAGTTTGAGGAGAACCACAGTGAGGTGAGGAAACGTTTAGTCCTGGTTTAGTCCTGGTTTAGTCCTGGTTTAAATTTGGTTTTAATCTTTTTTTTGTTTTTTTCTGCAGATCAAAAAAGTGGAAGTCAATGGAAGAAGAGACGAGGAAAAAGGAAGAAGATGAAAGAATAAGAACCTAAACCAGGACTAAACCTGGACTAAACCAGGACTAAACAAAGACTAAACCAGGACTAAACCAGGACTAAACCTGGACTAAACCAGGACTAAACAAAGACTAAACCAGGACTAAACCAGGACTAAACCTGGACTAAACCTGGACTAAACCAGGACTAAACAAAGACTAAACAAAGACTAAACCAGGACTAAACCAGGACTAAACAAAGACTAAACCAGGACTGAGCCTCTGGACACATATTTGAAGCTGCAGGAAGTGGTGTCACTTCAAAATAAGAGCCTGTTTTGACCTGTCAACACCTGCCTGCACCTGCCTGCACCTGCCTGCACCTGCCTGCACCTGCCCGGGGACCGTGACATCATCGTGACTTTCTTGTCCTTCTGAACATAATCGTGCAGGATCTGTCGGCAGGTTTCTCCACTTTTTTACTAAAACACTTCAATTTAAAAATCTTTAAGTTTTTTTTTTTTGTTTTTTTTTGTCATCTTCTTGAGGTTAAAAATGTGTCTTCCTGGTTGGAAATGATGAATTTCATAACTGTTACCAGAGCGACAGACGCAAACTCCTCCAATGTGAGAAAAAAACCAACACATTTATTGAGTTCAAATCAGGTTCAAAGTGTCAGAAAAATGTGTTTGTGTGAAAAATGTAAAATCAGTCGAATGTTTTGATCATCGTAGTGACGTCATCAGTGTGACGTCATCAGTGTGATGTCATCAGTGTGATGTCATCAGTGTGATGTCATCAGTGTGGTGTCATCAGTGTGATGTCATCAGTGTGATGTCATCAGTGTGATGTCATCAGTGTGATGTCATCAGTGTGGTACTTCCTGTCGTGTGTAAAATGTTTTTAATGTTTGTTTTTGTGTAAAAGTCGTTTATTTTCACTGCAGCAAACGTTTCGTTAAATATTTGAATATTTCAGAGTGAGAGAAACACCCCCTACACACACACACACACACACACACACACACACACACACACACACACTTCCTCCTGAGCTGCACATTCGCTCAGACTCTAAACTCGTCACGTTTTAAGATTAAGATGATTAAATCTGTTTTTTCTGGACGTGTCGGACACAAACGTCTTCGTGAGCTGAACTTTCTCCTCTGACTCAAGTTTTTGATTTTGTTTCGTTTCCCGTGAAAAACAGAAAAACTCTGAAATGTTTTACCTGAAAATCACTTTATTAAAATATTCAAACATAAAACGAGTCAGAGAGGTTTTTTACACAACTGAATCTGACCAAAACTCAGGTCTCCACCTCAGGTCTCCACCTCAGGTCCTAATCAGATCCTCCTCAGGTCTCCACCTCAGGTCCACCTCAGGTCTTGTCCAGAACATCTCCAAAGATCAAAACAGTTCCAAGAAAAATGAGTCTTTGTCACGGAGTCTTTCCCCCGAGGGTTTGTCCATCTTCAGACAGGTGCTGCTCCTGTTTGTCAGGGCTGACAGGAGCAGGCAGGGGCGAGCTGACAGGTGCAGACAGCAGGTCCAAAAACTGAGGTTTGAGAGTCGCCCAAGAGAAACGAGACATGTCCACCTGAAAAGAAGAACAAGGGTGAGGAGCAGACAGGAGCAGACAGGAGCAGGCAGGAGCAGACAGGAGCAGACAGGAGCAGACAGGAGCAGACAGGAGCAGGACAGGAGCAGACAGGAGCAGGCAGGAGCAGCAGACAGGAGCAGACAGGAGCAGCAGGAGCAGACAGGAGCAGGCAGGAGCAGACAGGAGCAGACAGGAGCAGACAGAGAGCAGCAGACAGGAGCAGACAGGAGCAGACAGGAGCAGGCAGGAGCAGACAGGAGCAGACAGGAGCAGACAGGAGCAGACAGGAGCAGACAGGAGCAGACAGGAGCAGGCAGGAGCAGTACCTGCACAGTGTGGGTTCGTACAAGTTCTGGTCTTTTGCAGAATCGTGTGAGTTTCTTGAGGAGCTGAGCCGGAGTCCTGAACCTGTACTGGACTGACAGGGGCAGACAGGGGCAGACAGGGGCAGACAGGGGCAGACAGGGGCAGACAGGGGCAGACAGGGGCAGACAGGGGCGTTAGTCAAAATAATCTCGCTGTAATAATCTGTTTTTAATGTTTAATTTTACCTGGGAATATTTCAGGATAAACCAAAGAGTCTGGAACCAACGGAAAACACCCACAGTGAACCGACTCCAACCTGGAACCAGACCAGAACTAAACCAGAACTAAACCAGGACCAGACCAGGACCAGACCAGGACTGAACCAGGACCAGACCAGGACCGAGCCAGAGGAACGAGGAGAGAGGAACGAGGAGCGAGGAGCGAGGAGAGAGGAACGAGGAGCGAGGAGCGAGGAACGAGGAGCGAGGAGAGAGGAACGAGGAGCGAGGAACGAGGAACGAGGAGCGAGGAGAGAGGAACGAGGAACGAGGAGCGAGGAACGAGGAACGAGGAGCGAGGAGAGAGGAACGAGGAGAGAGGAGAGAGGAACGAGGAGAGAGGAGCGAGGAGAGAGGAGAGAGAGGAGAGAGGAACGAGGAGCGAGGAGAGAGGAACGAGGAACGAGGAGCGAGGAGAGAGGAGACGAGAGAGGAACGAGGAGAGAGGAGAGAGGAACGAGGAGAGAGGAGAGGAGGAACGAGGAGAGAGGAGAGAGGAGAGAGGAGAGAGGAGAGAGAGGAGAGGAGAGAGAGAGAGGAGAGGAGAGAGAGGAGGAGAGGAGAGAGGAGAGGAGAGAGAGAGAGGAGAGAGGAGAGAGGAGAGGAGAGGAGAGAGAGGAGAGAGAGGAGAGAGGAGAGAGGAGGAGGAGGAGGAGGAGAGAGGAGTGAGGAGAGGAGAGAGGAGAGAGGAGAGAGGAGGAGAGAGAGAGAGGAGAGAGGAACGAGGAGCGAGGAGAGCGAGGAACGAGGAGCGAGGAGCGAGAGAGAGAGGAGAGCGAGGAGACGAGGAGAGAGGAAGAGGAGGAGAGGAGAGAGGAGAGAGGAGAGAGGAGAGAGGAGAGAGGAGAGAGAGAGAGAGGAGAGAGGAGAGAGGAGAGAGGAGAGAGAGAAGAACGAGGAGAGAGGAACGAGGAGAGAGGAGAGAGGAGAGAGGAGAGAGAGGAACGAGAGGAACGAGGAGCGAGGAAGAGGAACGAGGAGAGAGGAACGAGGAGAGAGAGGAAGAGAGAGAGGAGAGAGGAGAGAGAGGAGAGAGAGAGAGAGAGAACGAGGAGAGAGAGAGAGGACGAGGAGAGAGGAGGAGGAGGAACGAGGAGAGAGGAGAGGAGAGAGGAGAGAGGAACGAGGAGCGAGGAGAGAGGAACGAGAGAGAGGAGAGAGGAGCGAGGAGCGAGGAGCGAGGAGAGAGGAGAGGAGGAGGAGCGAGGAGCGAGGAGAGAGGAGTGAGGAGTGAGGAGAGAGAGAGAGAGAGACGAGGAGAGAGGAGAGAGGAGAGAGGAGAGGAGTGAGGAGAGAGGAGAGAGGAGGAGACCAGGACCAGACCAGGACCAGACCAGGACCAGACCGGGACCAGACCGGGACCAGACCGGGACCAGACCGGGACCAGACCAGGACCAGACCGGGACCAGACCGGGACCAGACCAGGACTCTTACATGGAGACCCCGTAGAACTCGTGCTTGGCGGTGGACAGGACCAGGTCGGACTCGGCCAGGACTTTATAGAACTCGTCTTTGCTCTGGACGAAGCCCCAGTGAAGAACGTGGTCCCCCAGAAGATCCCTGGATTCAGCAAAGACCTCTGCAACACAGACCGGGTAAGACCCAGAACTGAACCAGGACTGAACCAGGACTGAACCAGGACTGAACCAGGACTGAACCAGGACTCACCAGGCTCCTCGGAGAACCGCTCCCCGAGAACAGAGACTCTGAAGTCCAGACCTCGGTCTTTGAGTCTGAGCAGGACCCAGAAGAGCAGAGCCGGGTCTTTGTCATGCTCCCTACAACAAAACAAGACACACTTAGTCCTGGTCTGATCTGATCCTGGTCCTGGTCTGGTCCTGGTCCTGGTCTGGTCCTGGTCCTGGTCTGGTCCTGGTCCTGGTCTGGTCTGGTCCTGGTCTGGTCCTGGTCCTGGTCTGGTCCTGGTCTGGTCCTGGTCTGGAGATTATGAGGATTCCAGATGCTTTGTGTTAATCCAGTCGCGAGTCGAACCCACAACCTCTGCGTCAGGAGGTACCCGTGGCAGGTGCGGAGGTACCCGTGGCAGGTGCGGAGGTACCCGTGGCAGGTGCGGAGGTACCCGTGGCAGGTGCGGAGGTACCCGTGGCAGGTGCGGAGGTACCCGTGGCAGGTGCGGAGGTACCCGTGCAGGTGCGAGGTACCCGGCAGGTGCGGAGGTACCCGTGGCAGGTGCGGAGGTTCCTTTTAACCACTAACCACATGGACCCGGCAGGACCCCGGTTAGTCCCACTCTAGTCTTGGCTGAGATCTGTCATAGTCCTGGTTTAGATCCAAGTTTCCTCTGACTCACCATCTGTGAGGCCACACGATGTGCAGGGGCCGGACCGGGTCTGGACCCTGGTCTGGACCCTGGTCTGGACCCTGGTCTGGGTCTTCAGATCTGAAAACAAGTGAGAGTTTAGAGCCCTTTAAATCTGTGTGGTTCAGTCTCGGTCTAGTCTCGGTCTAGTCTCGGTCTGGTCCTGGTCTGGTCCTGGTCTTGTCTGGGTCTTGTCTCAGCCTTGTCTCGGTCTGGTCCCGGTCTGGTCCCGGTCTTGTCTGGGTCTTGTCTCAGCCTTGTCTCGGTCTGGTCCCGGTCTGGTCCCGGTCTGGTCCTGGTCTGGTCTCGATCTGGTCTCGATCTGGTCCTCGTCTGGTCTCGGTCTGGTCTCGTGTCTGGTCCCGGTCTGGTCCCGGTCTGCGGTCTGGTCTGGTCCCGGTCTGGTCGTCTGGTCCCGGTCTGGTCTGGTCTGGTCCTGGTCCCGGTCTGGTCTCGGTCTGGTCCCGGTCTGGTCTGGTCTGGTCTCGTCCTGGTCCCGGTCTGGTCTCGGTCTGGTCTCGATCTGGTCCCGGTCTGGTCTCGATCTGGTCTCGGTCTGGTCCTGGTCTGGTCCCGGTCTGGTCCCGGTCTGGTCTCGGTCTGGTCCCAGTCTGGTCTCGGTCTGGTCCCGGTCTGGTCCTGGTCCCGGTCTGGTCCCGGTCTGGTCTCGGTCTGGTCTCGATCTGGTCTCGGTCTGGTCCCGGTCTGGTCTCGATCTGGTCTCGGTCTGGTCCTGGTCTCGGTCTGGTCCTGGTCTGGTCCTGGTCCTGGTCTGGTCCTGGTCCTGGTCCTGGTCCCGGTCTGGTCTGGTCCTGGTCTCGGTCTGGTCTCGATCTGGTCTCGGTCTGGTCCTGGTCTGGTCCCGGTCCCGGTCTGGTCTCTGGTCCTGGTCCTGGTCCTGGTCCTGGTCCTGGTCTGGTCCTGGTCTTACTGTTGGGGACTCTGGACTTGGGGGCGTCTCTGTCGTTTGTGCTCAGGAAGAAATCTGAAAAAGAAAAAACAAGAGAATGAGAAAGATCCAAGACCCAAAACCAGACCCAAAACCAGACCCAGACTCACGGCTCGACTTGGGGCAGGTCCAGGGGGAAGTACAGGACTCGGGACTTGGACCGGATCTTGGACTCGAGGTCCTGAGGTTTGTAGTCCGGGATCTGGTTCAGGAAGGACCTCACGGACCCGACGAACGAGTCCAAGTTAAACCGCGAGTTAAAGACGACCTGATCTGCAACGAGACTAAACCAGGACTGAACCAGGACTGAACCAGGACTCAACCAGGACTCAACCAGGACTCAACCAGGACTGAACCAGGACTGAACCAGGACTGAACCAGGACTAAAGCAGGACTAAACCAGGATTAAAGCAGGACTGAACCAGGACTAAAGCGGGACTAAACCAGGACTAAAACAGGACTAAAGCAGGACTAAAGCAGGACTAAAACAGGACTAAACCAGGACTAAAACAGGACTAAACCAGGACTAAAGCGGGACTAAACCAGGACTGGACCGGGCCTGGACTCACCAGGACAGGATCTGGTTGTACCCGTACTGGAAGTCCCGGTTCTGGGGTTTCTGTCGGGGATAGACCAGCTGGTTCTCGTGGAAGTACAGGACTTTCTTTAGTCCGGCCAAGTCCGGCCTCAGGGCCACGAGCTCACACAGGTTCAAGACCGACGAGCAGAACAGGACCCTGAAAAAGAACCTGGTTTAGTCCAGGTCCAGTCCTGGTCTAGTCCTGGTCCTGTCCTGGTTCTGGTCCTGGTCCGGTACCTGTAGTGGTGGTCTGGTTCTGGTCCTGGGTCTGGTCTGGTTCTGGTCCGGTACCTGTAGTGGTGGTCTGGTCCTGGTCCTGGGTCTGGTCTGGTTCTGGTCCGGTACCTGTAGTGGTGGTCTGGTTCTGGTCCTGGGTCTGGTCTGGTTCTGGTCCGGTACCTGTAGTGGTGGTCCCGGGGCAGGTTCTGGCTGTAGACCAGGGCCGAGGTTCTGGATCTCCAGTGCCATTTTTTGCAGGGCAGAGTCCACAGGGTCCAGTCCGAGTCCTGGACCAGAAGATCCATGAGCTGTTTGTGGGACCCTCCATAGAACGGCTCCAAGAGCAGAACCGGACCAGGACCTGCCTGGGAGAGAGAACCGGGTCAGAACCAGGACTAAACCAGGACTAAAGTTGGGTGAGTTCAGTGGGTGCTTGTGATTTTCGGCAGGTGCTGGTGGCGGGTGGTGGTGACGGGTGCTGGTGGCGGGTGCTGGTGGCGGGTGCTGGTGGCGGGTGCTGGTGGCGGGTGCTGGTGGCGGGTGCTGGTGGCGGGTGGTGGTGGGGTGCTGGTGGCGGGTGGTGGTGGGCGGGGTGGCGGGTGGTGGTGGCGGTGTGTGGCGGTGTGGTGTGGCTGGTGGCGGGTGCGGTGGCGGTGGGTGCGGTGCTGGTGGCGGGTGGTGGCGGGTGGGTGGCGGGTGGCGGGTGCTGGTGGCGGTGGTGCTGGTGGCGGGTGGTGGTGGCGGGTGCTGTGGCGGGTGGTGGGGGGTGCTGGTGGCGGGTGCTGGTGGTGGCGGGTGGGTGGCTGGTGGCGGGTGGTGGCTGGTGGCGGGTGCTGGTGGCGGGTGCTGGTGGCGGTGGCGGTGGTGGTGGTGGTGGGTGCGGGTGCTGGTGGCGGGTGTGCTGGTGGCGGGTGTGGTGGCGGGTGCTGGTGCTGGTGGTGGCGGGTGTGCTGGTGGCGGGTGCTGGTGGCGGTGGGGTGGTGGTGGTGGTGGCGGTGGTGGCGGTGGTGGGGTGGTGGCGGTGCGGTGGTGGTGGTGGTGGGTGGTGGCGGGTGGTGGTGGGTGGTGGCGGGTGGCGGGTGCTGGTGGCGGGTGCTGGTGGCGGGTGTGGTGCTGGTGGTGGTGGGTGTGGTGGCGGGTGCTGGTGGCGGGGTGGTGGCGGTGGCGGGGTGGTGGCGGGGTGGCGGTGGTGGGGTGCTGGTGGTGGTGGTGGCGGGTGCTGGTGTGGTGGTGGTGGTGGCGGGTGTGGTGGTGGCGTGGTGGTGGCGGTGGTGGTGGCGGGTGGGTGGTGGTGGCGGTGCTGGTGGCGGGTGCTGTGCGGGTGCTGGTGGCTGGTGGCGGGTGGTGGTGGCGGTGCTGGTGCGGTGGTGGTGGTGGCGGGTGCTGGTGGTGGCGGGTGGCGTGGTGGTGGTGGTGGTGGTGCGGGTGGTGGTGGCGGGTGGTGTGCGTGGTGCGGGTGGTGGTGGCGGGTGCGTGGTGGTGGCGGGCGGTGGTGGTGGCGGGTGCGGGTGGTGGCGTGGTGCGGGGTGGTGGCAGGTGCTGGTGGCGGGTGCTGGGTGGCGGGTGGCTGGTGGGTGGGGTGCTGGTGGCGGGTGCTGGTGGCGGGTGGTGGTGACGGGTGCTGGTGGCGGGTGGTGGTGACGGGTGCTGGTGGCGGGGTGTGGTGGCAGGTGCTGGTGGCGGGTGCTGGTGGCAGGTGTTTATAATTCTAGTCTTGTGTCAGATTCATTATTTCTCCTGATGTGAGATTTTTGGTGAATAACACCTGAGTTGAGCTCACACGACCCGAGCTCACACGACCCGAGCTCACACGACCCGACACACGACCCGAGCTAAACACGACCCGAACACAACAGACCGAGACACACGACCCGAGCTCACACACGACCCGAGCTCACACGACCCGAGCTCACACGACCCGAGCTCACACGACCCGAGCACACACGACCCGAGCACACACGACCCGAGCACACAGGACCCGAACACACACGACCCGAGCACACAGGACCCGAGCACACACGACCCGAGCACACAGGACCCGAGCACACAGGACTAGACTGAACCACCACCTGCCCCGTCTGGACCCGGTCTGGACCCGGTCTGGACCCGGTCTGGACCCGGTCTGGACCCGGTCTGGACCCGGTCTGGACCCGGTCTGGACCCGGTCTGGGTCTTTTATTGTTTTTGTTTTAATTTTAACTAAATTCAGAGTCATTTTTTCACAGTGTTTGTTTCTTCTCCCAGAACAGAACAGAACTTCACTCTGTACGGAGACTTGAAGTGTGATAAAGTTCGTCTCGTTTCACGGTTTTATTTTTAAATCTCCACAAACCGAAAGTTCAGGTTTTATTTTGATAATCTGCTCATTCTGTGAAATAAATCTGTAAAAAACAGGTTTTATCTGCATGTATGTGTTTTATCTGAACATACATGTTTTTTATCAGTATTTATAGTTTTTATTTGTATTTATAGTTTTTATGTTTGTGTTTTATTTGGACTTTGTAAACATTAGCATTAGCATTAGCCACCTCGGCCTCTGTTAAACTCTCCGCAGACAGAGCCGTGCCCCGCGTTAGCTCTCCCGCCCGCACTTGTCTCCGGCGCGTTTACAGCGCATTTATAGATTATAGATGACAGATTATAGATTATAGATGTTTTAAACATGTCAAACAAAGCCGCACGTGTACTCACCACTTCCTGCATCAGTGCGTCTCTGTGAAAACGTCATCACGCTGCTTAAAGAGACAGGCGCCTCAGACCCGAGACTGACTTTATATTTATATTTTATTTATATATTTATAATGTGTATTTTTACAGAGATTAAACCATGGACTGAGTTTTATAGCATTTATATATTTATATATTTATAATAAATGATGTGTTTAATGGTTTAATACAGATCAAACAGGCTCCGCTCATCATATTTTACACTGAATATAAACAATGTTTAAGGTTTAATACTAATGTAAATATACATTTGATTTAAAGTTGATTTAAAACTTAATATTCTTTCTTTTTTTGTTTTGTAGAGAAGCTCTGAGGGCCCCAAGAGTCCCCGGACGCCACTTTGAGAACCTCAGACTAAAACAAACTTTATTTATCCACAAAGAAAATGACACAACAGCAGCTCACACATCACAAAAATATAATAACAATATAATATAATAACAATATAATATAATAACAATATAATACAACACCACCCACCTCCACCCAGGCAGACCCGTTCACACCGGCGTTGAGGCGTTCGTCCCGTGTGGAGTTGTTTGACCCATGTGGCGGCGTTTGACCCGGTGTTTGAGGGCCGAGGGTGAAGCGCAGTGTGGAGTAAAAAAGCAGGTGGTGCTGTGGGATTAAAACACAGATTAAGGAGTAATTCTGTTTTAATCCCACAAGACGTTTCCATCACACTTTAGTCTAATCCACTTCTCACCAAAACATCTGCACACATCTGCACTTCAACACCGACACCACCTCCCGACAACACCCAACACCACCCGACCCGACACCAACACCCAGCAACACCACCCAGAACCACCCAGCAACACCACCCAGAACCAGCCAGAACCAGCCAGAACCACCCAGCAACACCACCCAGAACCACCCAGCAACCACCACCCAGAACCACCCAGAACCAGCCAGAACCAGCCAGAACCAGCCAGAACCAGCCAGAACCACCAGAAACCAGCCAGAACCACCCAGAACCAGCCAGAACCAGCCACATCTTTGGTAAAGTGTCCTGGTTATTAGTCTGGTTCAGTCCTGGTTTTCAGTCCTGGTAGTCTGGTTTAGTCCTGGTTAGTCCTGGTTAGTCCTGGTTTAGTCCTGGTTTAGTCCTGGTTTCCTGGTTTAGTCCTGGTTTTCAGTCCTGGTTCAGTCCTGGTTTAGTCCTGGTCAGTCCTGGTTTAGTCAGTCCTGGTTTAGTCCTGGTTTAGTCCTGGTTTAGTCCTGGTTTAGTCCTGGTTCAGTCCTGGTTTAGTCCTGGTTTAGTCCTGGTTCAGTCCTGGTTTAGTCCTGGTCAGGGTCTTCGTCGGTGCCGTTGGAGGAAGAGTTTTAATTACACACAGATTAAACATGTGTCTTTGGTTAAAACCTGGATTAGACCTGGATTAGACCTGGATTAGACCTGGTCCTCATCAGGATTAGGACCTGTTTGATGAAGTCCAGGTTTAACGAGGTCTCAGAGCCACGACACAGAGACAAGTGAACGCTCGTCTGAACCGGGTCTGAACCGGGTCTGAACCGGGTCTGAGCCTGGACTAAACCTGGACTAAACTTGGTCTAAACCTGGTCTTGCCTTTTCCTCCACGGCGCTTCTTATCTCTCTCGTCGTCTTCTTCTTCTTCTTGTGTTTGGGGCAGCGCAGGTCAGAGGTCAAAGGTCAGAGGTTATCTCTCAGAGTTTAATAAAGTTTCAAACGGCGCCGATAAAACGTCCCCAGTAATTATCCTTTATCTCCTATTAGAAAAGTCCCAAAATCCAGACCAGGTCCAGTCCAAGGACCAGACCACAGACCAGGATTATATAAATATATAAATATATAAATAAAACTGTCTGATTTTTCCTGTTTTTGTTGCAGTTGAAGTGGAGCAGGTCTGAGGTCTGAGCCTGAAACGATCCAAACACGGAACAGACAAAAACAACAACAACAAACAACAAAAAAGTGAAAAATGTAGATTTCAGAATCACACAAGAAAATCAGTCACATCAACAAGAAAAACGGTGCTTCTGTTTCCTGCAGGTCGATCAAGTCCAGCTCCCTGTCGGCAGGAGCACAGCGCCAGGAGCGTCAGGTGAACGTCAGGAGCGTCAGGTGAACGTCAGGTGCGTCAGGTGAACGTCAGGAGCGTCAGGTGAACGTCAGGTGCGTCAGGTGAACGTCAGGTGACGTCAGGTGAGCGTCAGGTGAACGTCAGGTGAACGTCAGGTGAACGTCAGGATCAGGTCGTCAGGTGAACGTCAGGTGAACGTCAGGTGTCACGTCAGCGTCAGGTGCGTCAGGTGAACGTCAGGTGAACGTCAGCGTCAGGTGAAGCGTCAGGTGAACGTCAGCGTCAGGTGAACGTCAGGTGAACGTCAGGAGCGTCAGGTGAAGGTGCGTCAGGTGAACGTCGTCAGGTGAACGTCAGGTGAAGGTGCGTCAGGTGTCAAGCGTCAGGTGAACGTCAGGTGCGTCAGTCAGGTGAACGTCAGGTGAATGTCAGGAGCGTCAGCGTCAGTCGTCAGGTGAACGTCAGGTGAACGTCAGGAGCGTCAGGTGAACGTCAGGAGGTCAGGTGAACGTCAGGTGAACGTCAGGTGCGTCAGGTGAACGTCAGTCAGCGTCAGGTTGAACGTCAGGTGCGTCACGTCAGGTGAAGCGTCAGGTGCGTCAGGTGAACGTCAGGTGAATGTCAGGAGCGTCAGGTGAACGTCAGGTGAACGTCACGTCAGGTGAACGTCAGGTGAATGTCAGGAGCGTCAGGAACGTCAGGTGTCAGGTGAAGCGTCAGGTGCGTCAGGTGAACGTCAGGTGAACGTCAGGTGCGTCAGGAGCGTCAGGTGAACGTCAGGATGCGTCAGGTGAACGTCAGGTGAACGTCAGGTGCGTCAGGTGAACGTCAGGTGAATGTCAGGAGCGTCAGGTGAACGTCAGGAGCGTCAGGTTCAGGTGAACGTCAGGTGAACGTCAGGTGCGTCAGGTGAACGTCAGGTGCGTCAGGTGAACGTCAGGTGAACGTCAGGTCACGTCAGGTGTCAGGTGCGTCAGGTGCGTCAGGTGAACGTCAGGTGCGTCAGGTGCGTCAGGTGAACGTCAGGTGCGTCAGGTGAACGTCAGGTGCGTCAGGTGAACGTCAGTGAACGTCAGGAACGTCAGGTGCGTCAGCGTCAGGAGCGTCAGGTGCGTCAGGTGCGTCAGGTGAATGTCAGGAGCGTCAGGTGCGTCAGGTGAACTCAGATTCACGCTGAAGAACAAAATGTTTCGAGAAAAAATTATTTATTTTTTCAACTTAAACTGCTTTTTTATTCTGTGCTTTTATTTCAGAGCAACAACACAATAAACTGAATAAAAAATGGAAAAGTGTTTAGTTCTAAAACTTTTGACCTGTATTATCTGTCTAGATTGACAGATACATTTTTATTTTATTTTTTTTATTTTTATTTTATGCCCCTTGAGAAAAAAAAACCAACATATTAGTAATAAACAACACAACAGAAAAAATACAACACTCACAAGTTTACACTACACACACACACACACACACACACTACACACACACACACACACACACACACACACACACACACACACACACACACACACTTTTTATAACAATGATGTAAACAAATGGAACAAACTGGAAAATCTAAATAAAAAGACAAACTAAAAACATAAACATGAGTTTTAAGAAATGAAAATAAAAATAATTTAAATGAAGTGAAGTGTGTTAAAGTTGTTCTGTGTGTGTGTGTGTGTGTGTGTGTTTTCTATGTCTGTCTATTGTGTTGTGTTTTTTTAGACCCACTCAAAATCAAATCAAATCAAAGTGTCTCTATGGAGAAAACCCTCGTCCAGTCTGAAAATCGTCTTTGTGGTGTCGGAGTTTCTGAATGTGACTCTGGGACTAAACTCTGACGTGGAAAATGAGTCAAATACATTTCACAAATAAAACACAAGTGATGCTTTGAACCTGAAGATTAAATCTACAGAGTCGTCCAGCTCAACCAGGGCAAAACTGAGGTTTTAATTATTGGTCCTGAAGCTCAGAGAGAGAGGCTCAAAGCTAAGCTCCAAACCTCCTCACTGAACCCTGTGAGAGGGTGAAAAGTTTAGGAGTTACTCTTGATAGTGAGCTTAGCTTTGAGCCACACATCAGGTCCATCACTAAATCTGGTTTTTATCATCTAAAAAATATTGCCAGAGTCAGACCTTTTCTTTCTCAAGCCAGTGCAGAGACTTAAATACATGCTTTTATTACAAATCGCGTTGATTACTGTAATGTTCTCCTTTCTGGTCTTCCAAAGAAATCTACAGCTCCACTGCAGCTCCTCCAAAACTCTGCAGCTGCTGACGAGGACCAGGGAGCGAGAGCACATCACCCCAGTACTGAAGTCTCTGCACTGGCTCCTGTGAGCTTCAGGAGAGATTTAAAGTTCTTTTATTAGTTTATAAAGCTCTTAATGGTCTTAGTCCTATTTATTTATCTGATCTGCTTTTATCATATGAGCCTCTCGGACTCTCAGGTCCTCAGGTCTCGTCTTTTAACTGTCCCAAGAGTCCAGACTAAAACTCACGCTGAGGCGTCGTTCAGCTTTTACGGCCCCCGTCTGTGGAACAGTCGACCTGAGGACCTGAGGTCCGCTGCGAGTGTTCATATTTTTAAAAGTAAACTTAAAACATATCTTTTTAATTTAGCTTTTAACTGAAACTTTTACCTGTTTTAACTTCAATTATCATTATTATTGTTATTATTATGGTAGTTTTAAATTAAATTATCATTACTATTTTATTTTGTCTCCATCTGGTCTTAACTATACACTTTTAATTTTTACTATAACTTTTAAGAGCTTTATGTTTATTAGTTTTTTAGTTTTTATGTTTCTGTTTAAATTGTGGTATGGGGGGGGGGGGGGGGGGGGTGTTAATTAATGTATTAAAAATGTTTCTGTTGCATGTGAAGCACTTTGTGCTACATTTCAAATGTATGAAAAGTGCTATACAAATAAAGTTTGATTGATTGATTGATTGAGAGTTGAGCAGAACGTTCCGAGATCAGGACGAGTCAAAAACTAAATCAATAATAATTATTTTCCTGAGCTCTTCACAAGAAACAGACTTAATGAACTTTATTTATTTATTTATTTATTGTGAGACAAATGTGAGTAAACCAATAACAGGCTCATAATCCTCAGTGCGACAGCGCCCTCTGCTGGACCGTCCAGGACACTTCTGTATTTCAGATTTTAGTCTCGTGATTCCCTCAAAAAATACAGAACCATCTTTTATTTTATTTTTTATTTTATTTAATTTTTAATTTCATTTAATTATTTCATTTTATTTTAACTGAATTGCTATGGCAAAACCAGGTCTAAACCAGGACTAAACCCTAAACCAGGACTAAACCAGGACTAAACCAGGACTAAACCAGGTCTAAACCAGGACTAAACCAGGTCTAAACCAAGACTAAACCAGGACTAAACCAGGACTAAACCAGGTCTAAACCAAGACTAAACCAGGACTAAACCAGCACTAAACCAGGTCTAAACCAGGACTAAACCAGGTCTAAACCAGGACTAAACCAAGACTAAACCAGGACTAAACCAGCACTAAACCAGGTCTAAACCAGGACTAAACCAAGACTAAACCAGGTCTAAACCAGGACTAAACCAAGACTAAACCAGCACTAAACCAGGACTAAACCAGGACTAAACCAGGACTAAACCAGGTCTAAACCAGGTCTAAACCAGGTCTAAACCAAGCCAGTCCCAGTCTGGACTCCATTTCCCAGAGTGCCTCTGTGCTCCGTGCGCGTTCGGGGCGTGTTCGTGGAGCATCCTCCGTGAACACCGGGCTGTGTCCGTGTGTGCAGCCGCCCGTGGAGCGCTCTCCTCCCGCTTGGTTCTGCCCCTGGTGCCGCGCTGCTCCTGGAGCGTCAGTCCCGGGTTTTTCTTCCTTTTGTCCCCGCCTCACGGAGCGACTCACTCGGCTTTGGTCTTTTGTTTGTCCCGGTGCCTGGAGCTCCATCCCCCCGGACCGACGCGCTTTGTTTACCCAGACCACAGCGCTCACTCCGCGGCCTGTTGCGCGTCTGAGCCCGGTCCTGGAGCCTGGAGTCGGGTCCTGGAGCCTGGAGTCCGGTCCTGGAGCCTGGAGTCCGGTCCTGGAGCCTGGAGTCGGGTCCTGAAGCTCGGTGACGGATCCTCTTTGGGCCGAGGGCGGGTCCGTTTCCCGGTTGTCGTGTGCGTGTGCGCGCGTGTCCGTCTCTCCGGACAGGTGTCGGGAGCGCGCGTGTGTCGGGAGCGCGCAGGATGGGGGACGCGGCGGAGTGCGGGGTGAGGGTCATGTGCAGGTTCCGTCCACTGAGCGACGCGGAGCGAACCAGAGGAGACCGGTTTGTCCCCAAGTTCAACGGAGAAGACACAGTAGTGCTGACGGTTAGCGCGCAAATACACAAAAATACACAAATATACACAAATATACACAAATATACACAAATATACACAAATATATACACACAAATATACACAAATATATACACAAATATATACACAAATATACACAAATATACACACAGACACAGTAGTGCTGACGGTTAGCGCGCAAATACACAAATACACACAAATATATACAAATATACACACAAATATACACAAATACACACAAATACACACAAATATACACAAATATACACACAGACACAGTAGTGCTGACGGTTAGCGCGCAAATACACAAATACACAAATATATACAAATATACACAAATATACACAAATACACACAAATACACACAAATATATACAAATATACACAAATATATACACAAATATATATACAAAATATACACAAATATACACAAATATACACAAAATACAAATACACACAAATACACACAAATATATACAAATACACACAAATATACAAACAGAGACACAGTCAGGTGGAGGGTCCAGGGTTCAGTCCTGCTCTAGTCTGGTTGTGATCCTGGTTGAACCGGTCTCTGTTTCAGGGGAAGCCTTATGTCTTTGATCGAGTTTTGCCTCCAGACTCGGAGCAGATCCAGGTGTACGACACCTGCGCCAAGCACATCGTCAAAGGTGAGTCCAGGACCCGTGCTGGACCTGGTTTAGTCCTGGTTTAGTCCTTGTTTAGACCTGGTTTAGTCCTGGTTTAGTCCTGGTTTATTGGTGCAAACACAAAAGAACTGGATCTGTGACTGACCTCGTCTTTTTCTCTGATCCCTGTACGATCTCTGGTCCTGGTCCTGGTCTTGGTCTCTGGTCTGGTCCTGGTCTTGGTCTCTGGTCCTGGTCCTGGTCTTGGTCTCTGGTCTGGTCCTGGTCTTGGTCTCTGGTCTGGTCCTGGTCTGGTCCTGGTCTGGTCCAGATGTCCTGGGTGGATATAATGGAACCATCTTTGCGTACGGACAGACGTCTTCAGGAAAAACCCACACCATGGAGGTACAGAAGCACGATTAGATCCTCCTCCAGACCGGTTCAGATCCGGGTTAAACCTGTCTGTGTTTCAGGGCGGTTTAGTCCTGGTTCAGTCCTGCTTCAGTCCTGCTTCAGTCCTGGTTCAGTTTTGTCTGTGTTTCAGGGAGTTCTTCACGACGATGAGGCCATGGGCGTCATCCCCAGAATCGCCTCAGACATCTTCAACCACATCTACGCCATGGACCAGAACCTGGAGTTCCACATAAAGGTCTGGTCCTGGTCCTGGTCCTGGTCCTGGTCCTGGTCCTGGTCCTGGTCCTGGTCCTGGTCCTGGTCCTGGTCTGGTCTTGGTCTTGGTCTTGGTCTTGGTCTTGGTCTTGGTCTTGGTCTTGGTCTTGGTCCTGGTCCTGGTCCTGGTCCTGGTCCTGGTCCTGGTCCTGGTCCTGGTCCTGGTCCTGGTCCTGGTCTTGGTCTTGGTCCTGGTCTTGGTCCTGGTCCTGGTCCTGGTCTTGGTCTTGGTCTTGGTCCTGGTCTTGGTCCTGGTCTTGGTCTTGGTCCTGGTCCTGGTCTTGGTCCTGGTCTTGGTCTGTATACTGTGTGTGATGTAAAGTCTGTTTGTGCTGCAGGTTTCCTACTTCGAGATTTACCTGGACAAGATCCGAGACCTGCTGGACGGTACGTGACCCCTGACCCCACATGACCCCTGACCTGTTGACCTGGGGCGGGGCACAGATACAGAACTTTAGATCTGACGTTCACGACCGACGTCAACAAAACCACCGTCTGGTCCAGGAAAACACGACTTCAAAGTCCAAGTTTAGTCCTGGTTTAGTCCTGGTTTAGTCTGGGTTTAGTCCTGGGTTTAGTCTGGGTTTAGTCCTGGTTTAGTCCTGGTTTAGTCCTGGTCTAGTCCTGGTCTAGTCCTGGTCTAGTCCTGGTTTAGTCCTGGTTTAGTCCTGGTTTAGTCCTGGTTTAGTCCTGGTTTAGTCCTGGTTTAGTCTGGGTCTGACTGAGTTTGATTCTGTCCCTCAGTGACCAAGACCAACCTGTCCGTGCACGAAGACAAGAACCGAGTCCCCTACGTCAAGGTAACACCTGTGTCCTACACCTGTGTCCTACACCTGTGTCCTACACCTGTGTCCTACATGTGTCCTACACCTGTGTCCTACATGTGTCCTACACCTGTGTCCTACACCTGTGTCCTACATGTGTCCTACACCTGTGTCCTACACCTGTGTCCTACATGTGTCCTGCACCTGTGTCCTACATGTGTCCTACATGTGTCCTACATGTGTCCTACATGTGTCCTACACCTGTGTCCTACACATGTGTCCTACATGTGTCCTACACCTGTGTCCTACATGTGTCCTACATGTGTCCTACACCTGTGTCCTACACATGTGTCCTACATGTGTCCTACACCTGTGTCCTACACATGTGTCCTACATGTGTCCTACACCTGTGTCCTACACCTGTGTCCTACACCTGTGTCCTACACATGTGTCCTACACCTGTGTCCTACACCTGTGTCCTACACCTGTGTCCTACACCTGTGTCCTACACCTGTGTCCTACATGTGTCCTACATGTGTCCTACACCTGTGTCCTACATGTGTCCTACATGTGTCCTACACCTGTGTCCTACACCTGTGTCCTACACATGTGTCCTACATGTGTCCTACACCTGTGTCCTACACATGTGTCCTACATGTGTCCTACACCTGTGTCCTACACCTGTGTCCTACACATGTGTCCTACACCTGTGTCCTACACCTGTGTCCTACATGTGTCCTACACCTGTGTCCTACACCTGTGTCCTACACCTGTGTCCTACATGTGTCCTACACCTGTGTCCTACACATGTGTCCTACATGTGTCCTACACCTGTGTCCTACACATGTGTCCTACATGTGTCCTACACCTGTGTCCTACACATGTGTCCTACACCTGTGTCCTACACCTGTGTCCTACACCTGTGTCCTACATCTGTGTCCTACACCTGTGTCCTACACTGTGTCCTACCTGTGTCCTACACCTGTGTCCTACATGTGTCCTACACCTGTGTCCTACACTGTGTCCTACATGTGTCCTACACCTGTGTCCTACATGTGTCCTACACCTGTGTCCTACATGTGTCCTACACCTGTGTCCTACACCTGTGTCCTACACCTGTGTCCTACACCTGTGTCCTACACCTGTGTCCTACATGTGTCCTACACCTGTGTCCTACATGTGTCCTACACCTGTGTCCTACATGTGTCCTACATGTGTCCTACACCTGTGTCCTACACCTGTGTCCTACATGTGTCCTACACCTGTGTCCTACACCTGTGTCCTACATGTGTCCTACACCTGTGTGTCCTACACATGTGTCCTACATGTGTCCTACACCTGTGTCCTACACATGTGTCCTACATGTGTCCTACATGTGTCCTACACCTGTGTCCTACACCTGTGTCCTACACACCTGTGTCCTACATGTGTCCTACACCTGTGTTCCTACACCTGTGTCCTACATGTGTCCTACACCTGTGTGTCCTACACACCTGTGTCCTACATGTGTCCTACACCCTGTGTCCTACACCTGTGTCCTACATGTGTCCTACACCTGTGTCCTACACCTGTGTCCTACATCTGTGTCCTACATGTGTCCTACACCTGTGTTCCTACACCTGTCCTACATGTGTCCTACATGTGTCCTACACCTGTGTCCTACATGTGTCCTACACCTGTGTCCTACACCTGTGTCCTACACCTGTGTCCTACACTGTGTCCTACACCTGTCCTACACCTGTGTCCTACATCTGTGTCCTACACCTGTGTCCTACATCTGTGTCCTACACCTGTGTCCTACATGTGTCCTACACCTGTGTCCTACATGTGTCCTACATGTGTCCTACACCTGCAGTGTTGGGAGTAATGTATTATAAAAGTAATGTAGTATAAAAGTAATGTATTATAAAAGTAATGTATTACAGTAATGCGTTGATTTTTGCTGTAACGCAGTAATGTTCAGCATCACAGGGGGAAAAATTGTAATATTTTACTCGGTACAAATGTGAGTAACGCGCGTTACAAAGCTTTTTTAACCTGGATTGAAGTGGTGGGTTTTTCTTCATAGAAATTCGCTAAAATCACCGTGAAATCAGCAGCGATGAAACGGCGGAGACGCGGCCGGATAAACCTTCAGTTAACCGCGGGCAAAAGGACCGACCCAGAACTGTACTCTGTTTAGACCTGGTTTAGACCTGGTTTAGACCTGGTTTAGACCTGGGTCACTTCTGGTTTAGACCTGGTTTACAGTCGTCCCTCACTGTAACGCGATTCACTTTTCGCGGTCTCGCTGTTTCGCTGATTTTTAGAATTTTTTTTTTTTTTTGTGCAATTTTGCATGCCTTTTGTTTTTAGTGTATGAACACGTATTGTGTTCCTCCCGCTGTGTCCTGATTGGCTGAGGGACTCCTGTCTCCTGTACAGTACAGAATATGTTCAGCTGCCAAATTTAAATAAATGTTCAATCTGTATCAGTGTGAGTCTGAAGTGCTGTACGGTTGCAAGTTTTCTGTCCGACAAAATCCACAACGTCGACGAAATTTTCTGCACCGACAAAGTCTCCTGCGCTCACACCCAAAAGACAGAGGAAGATAAAACCATCGCACAAAAAGTTGGACTTCTGGACACGTTGAAGGAAGGTAGAAGTTACGCGCTGTAACAGACTCTTGCACCGGGTCTTGTACCTGCAAATAGTTGCTGAAATCAGGACCGTGAGCCTGAGCAGCAGAGAGTCCGTAAAGCGCGATCAGGCGACAGTCGCTCTTACCTCCATGAGGTGTGGAGCAGAGCCGCTCCTTTCTCCTGCGTCACCTCCGAGCCCGTCCTGACAGTGAGTCCTGTTTTAGTCCTGGTTCAGTTCTGGTTTAGTCCTCCTCTTCAGTCCTGGAATCAGTCTGAGGTTAGTCCTGTTATAGTCCTGGTTTAGTCCTGGTTCAGCTCTGGTTTAGTCCTGGTTTAGACCTTGTTTAGTCCTGGTTCAGCTCAAAAGTTCAGCTTTTTCGCAGTTATTTTGGTGAGAGTAACTTAAAGTAATGTAATAGTAATGTAATGCCTTACATTTTAAATGCAGTAATATTGTAATGTAACGAATTACTTTGAAATGACAGTAATAGGTAATAAATAATAAATTACAGTTTTAAAGTAACTTGCCCAACAGTGTACACCTGTCCTACATGTGTCCTACACCTGTGTCCTACATCTGTGTCCTACATGTGTCCTACACCTGTGTCCTACACCTGTGTCCTACATGTGTCCTACATGTGTCCTACATGTGTCCTACACCTGTGTCCTACACCTGTGTCCTACACCTGTGTCCTACATGTGTCCTACATGTGTCCTACACCTGTGTCCTACACCTGTCCTACATGTGTCCTACACCTGTGTCCTACACACCTGTCCTACATGTGTCCTACACCTGTGTCCTACATGTGTCCTACACCTGTGTCCTACATGTGTCCTACACCTATGTCCTACACACCTGTCCTACATCTGTGTCCTACACCTGTGTCCTTCACACCTATCCTACATGTGTCCTACACACCTGTCCTACATCTGTGTCCTACATGTGTCCTACACCTGTGTCCTACACACCTATCCTACATGTGTCCTACACCTGTGTCCTACACACCTGTCCTACATGTGTCCTACATCTGTGTCCTACATGTGTCCTACATCTGTGTCCTACACGTGTCCTACACACCTGTCCTACACCTGTGTCCTACATCTGTGTCCTACATGTGTCCTACACCTGTGTCCTACACACCTGTCCTACATGTGTCCTACAC